GCAGGGCGGCTTGGTTGAGGAGGGAGGGGGCTGCCGGGCCCTCAAGAGATAGTCCCCGTGTCCCCGCTCGACCCATATGCTCTATCCATCTCATCCCAACCAGCATGGATGGGGGTAGCCAGTACGTGGACCTTGCGTTGGGCAGGCCATGCTCTTATCCAAACTTTAGCGGCATGACTTGTCAACAGTACATGGGCTTTCTCTTTCGTGCTGCGTTTGACGAGCAGGGGTGTTTCTCGAACCCCTCGGTAGACGCTGACGAGGGGATGGCATTGCAAGGGACTACGCTACATGCTGGGGCGTGTCTGGGATGTCTTCTCTTACCTCGTGTGAAGGTCCTGGCTCCCAAAAGCCCCGGCGTTGTCGGTGGTCATGTCCTTTGCTTCTGCTATCCTGCCTGTATCCGGCAGTTTGCGGCCCTCTCTGGACCTGACCCTCTCTATCAGAAAGTCTCTAGGGCATAGCTTTGTCCGAGCTCCATTGCATGCTCCATTGATACATCCACCTTATCAGAATTGCTTGTCTCCTAGAGAAACAGCGTTTAATAAGCTCATCTTCTACTACGTAGGCTCTTTATGCTGAAGGCTCCGTTGGTATTTAGAATCACTGCTGTCGAGCAGATTATTGCCCTCTGTTAAGAACCCAGCATTGTCAAAGTATTTGCATGAAATCAGCCTCCAATATCACAACAGGCTGTTTTGTTTCTCAGATCCCCCCCTCCACTCCCCGTCCTCCTTCCAAGAACGGCCGCATGCGCTGAAGTGGTCTCCCAGCCCGCAGACAGTCATGACTGTTTATGAGAGCTTATACTAAGAACTCTCTCCGGACTCGATACTACTAGGTCTTGTCGACAGCACTGACCCAAGTCCCTGTGCCTGGACCTCGAAACAGCCCCCCGTCAAACTCGGTCTCCACCCTGGGGACAGTGCCGGGTGTTGTACTAAACACTCCCCCTCCATCATCTGCCGTTCCTCTGGCCGCCATCCATTTCCATATACAAGTACACACTTGCACCATCAACCTCAAGCGTCACTTCCCTGGTGTCTTGAGTACCGTGTTGTTCCTTCGCTTCCACCACACCTTGCGCCAAACACGTCTCGCGAGATTCTGTTATCTCGACTATTTTGTTTGGCCTGATCTATATCGACATTGATGTTCTCAGGACCACGTTCCTAGTGACGGGTCAAAGTCCAGGCAACTTGGTCTGGTTGAGGAAGCGGCAAAGTTGAATAGTGTATGCTCCCATGACAACCGCAACGGCATACCCGGCCACTATGGCAGATTTGAGAGGACACCCAGGGCATTCAAGCATGTGGTCAAGTTACGGAGGCTCAGTACACATACCAGGTCGAGTGGCAGATCCCATGCCATCAACTTCTTCGCCGCTCTCAGGACGGACTAGTAGTAATCATACCGAGATGGATCAGCCCTCTTACCCCTACAGCCGATACCCTCAAGACGACCAAGAAGCATACGACAGACCTGCGCACCCAGAAATTGTCTCGCATCATGGCTACCCAAACCTGAAGAGGTCGTTCTCTGAAGCAGAGCCGCCTGCCTACCAGGAAATTGTCCAGGATCTTCGTGACGATAGCTCCAAGATGACAGCCAGCCACGAGCATAAGCTCTTAGCCTTCAAGAGGACACAGGATAAACACACAATAGTTGACCAGCAAGGCCGCATGCAACAACTAGAGCTGTCCGCTCAACTCCACGGGATGTTCTTCCTTTCCGAAATGCCTGCAAATACATCGGATGGCTCGCTCAGACAGCCTGAGTTGACCTGTTACCGAAGAAATCTATTTCAAATCAGCGGCACTCTTGTTACACCACGAGGTCAACTGTCTGTGATCACTGAATCTGGAGAGACTGTTGCAGTCAGCAACATGGAGGTTACTATATCTGCCATCGAGTCTGTTGATGGCAACCCGGTCCGATTAATCGTGATTCCGTGGAAAACCCCTCCACCAAACTCACCCGAGACAAACCAAACTCCGGATCAAGAACCGCAGTCTCTGCCCCTAATTCCTTTCCAGGACGATGGGACAGAATCTGATGGCGAATATGCCGTGTACCCCATCGGGTGGCGACGCCTTCAATTCAGGATGTAAGTCAATGGCTGCACTGGCAACACTCGCTTGCTAATACGATCGCAGTGCAACTGCAAACAATGGACGTCGAAAGGAGCTCCAGCAACATTTCGTCCTTCATCTCAAAGTAGTTGGAACATTGGCCAACGGCAACAAGACTGTGCTCACGGAATCCACGACGGCGCCTATCGTCGTCAGAGGGCGAAGCCCTCGTAACTTTCAAGCTCGAAAGGAGATCCCTTTGTTGGGATCCAGTGCAGGGTCTCGAGGACAAGCCCTTGTGGAAACTGGAGTGGGAGTTGTTGCGGGCCCCCTGAGCGCAAAGCACCAGGAAGCGAAACCGAGAGGCATTGACGCTCAGCTCCCACGGACAGCCTTTACCTTCAACGCGCCAAAGATCCCGGGCACACAATTAGGCCCAATACGATCTAAGTGAGTTTGCGCCTGGGTCGACCTGGTTGTATCTCGATTTGAGCTGTACTGATTCATTTGTAGCTCATATCCAACTTGGGGGACACCGCCGGCCCAAGTGCCCTTGGGTCATATCCCAACCTCCGGTGCAGAGAGTTACCCTGCCGCATCAATGGGCCCTCTGGCTGGTACGGCCAGTTTCCCTGCTGAATCACAAGGAATGCCCATCCAATCATCGATGGAACCCCCTGTGCCCCTATCCATGGTAACGAATGATTCGGAGCACCCACCAGTCCGATCCCAGTATACTTATAACATGCAGACAACGACTGGCCCTCCGCAGTTATCGATACACACCACTCCGCTCGGAAGCCACGACCAGGCCATGAACATCCCTCGTTACGTCGATAACCCAAGGCCGTTGAAAAGCCCACGACATATGAGTCATCCATCGATAAGGAGTGCTGGCTCAATAGCGAACACCGACGCCTCTCCAGAATATCGATACGCCCCGTATGCCCCCGTGAACTCGAGTTCTAGCGAGGTTGCGCAGCCCAGTTACAACCCAGAAACGTCTGGGCCACCGTCAGTGCCTGCAAGGGACTACTACGCGCCTGCGCACACTTGGACGTCAGCGTCTGGGGAGCATAGTACGAATCTGGCATATGCCAGCACTGCCGAGTCTCGACCATACCCCTTCCCTCAGGACGAGTACAAGAGTACACCTGCGGGATCGTCACCAACGAAGACCGAATCGAGCCAGCCGCAGGGTTCGTCGGTCTATAACGGAGCTGCGAGAGGCTCTTTTGATGCCATGCATCAGTATTCCTGGAACGGGAACTAGACTTCTATGTCTTATTTCATCCACAGTTAGGGAGCTCGCGTTTGACGATATACAAAAAGTTGCCATCAAAAGATGTTGGCCTAACGAGAAGCATAACAACCACTGGACTTGTGGAGCGCTTAGTTCGTTTGTCAGTGAGCTTGTAACAATACCTACTGGAGTTTTTTTTCCTTCCCTTTCTTTTCTTTTATGACGGATGGTGTTGGCAATCTGAATTGGGTGGCTTGCAATGATTTGAAACATGGATACCAGAAAGTAGACGGAGCCGGAAGCAGAGGCAAGAATGATGAAGAGTTAATGGAGGTGAAAAGGATTGGCTGAAGAAGAAAGAGTGAAGAGGATTTGATACACGAGGATTGATAACGGATGACTAGAGGCTAATGACGCTGGGGAACTGGTCAATTCGAAACCTCTCATTAATGCAGAGCGGCTGGTTCTGCAACGATTCGAGACGCCGTTGCATGTCTGGGGCTAAAGGACGGGTCAGGCGAAACAAGGGCGTATCTTCTTCTCTGATTTGTTTGTTGATGTTCTCGTTTATTTTCTCCTGCGGGTATAAATCTGCGGATTGTACCAGCTCCGTCATAGGGCGGTGTTTATTTTGTCAAGTGGCATGTTGAAAAAGTTGTCACTGAGCTCGACTTCCCTTATGTATCGATGAAGTAGTTAAAAGAACAACCGGAATGTGACGAATAGATTCCCTTGGGCTTTGAAGTGACTAGTTTGATTGATCGCTATTGTGAAGGAGGTGCAAGTCCGAATCGATAGTTGAGTAGCGCTGCGGAATGAATAGGTACCTAGTCGTTGGTCCTTGCAATGAAACGCTTGTACTGTAAACTACATTGCAGACTCGGGGCCTTGGACTCTTTATACTTAGAAGTGATCAATAGCTGAGGTCACACGAACGTCGCACCATCGAAAATGGCCCTCCGAGGCCCGGACCATCTAATGCCATGTCCCCTCATGCTTGCATTGTGCCAAGTTAATGTCCCAATAGCCTGGTCGTATTTGAGCCTCTAGGCAGGGCTATCGTGGGGGATGGCTTTGTCAATAGATCTGTTCTGTAAGTACAGACGGTAACCTGATTGGTTCACCTGAAGAGCTGAAGCTCAGGTTGACTAGTGTGCAGAGGGAATGTTAGGGTAAGTGTAACATAATATCACTGATTCATGGCACTGGACATAATTGTGTTTTAATCAACGGACAATTAGAAGGTATCACCAGTTCCATCTGGTGCTGCGAACACTAAACTTTTTGACAAATATTCAATACTTTGATTAGAGGCTCGCTGGCTCAGTACTGCCTACTAACCTTAAGTTCCTAACTAGTACCTACTAGGTACCTAGGTAAGGTAGGCACGATCCGCATCCAATACAATTTTGGCACTCTAAAGTAGATGTGGCTGGTGCAGGGCGATAAGATAACACACTGCCATCGCGGAATTTTGGTATACGGGGGTTTTCCTGCTTTAAAGCACCTTGACTTTTGTTAGACGTGGCCCAGCCTCGAAAGATCCCCGCCAATCTGTCTCCCTGATCTTGCTGCATGCTCTACAACATTGTGGTCCTTGTGTCTATTTTCGTATTGGGACAAACTTGCCCATAATCGCACTTCGTCTCCCCTGCAGTTTTTTACTATTGACAAGAGAGAGCAGCATGTTTGAAGTGACTGAAGCAAAGAGGTAATTGATGGCCTGCTTACCGTGATTCTTTTATGTATTAACTTGCTTTTCAGGGTTCGAAGAGAAGATCTGGACAAATCAGATGATGGCGCAGACAATTGGAGTGACGACGGCATCTGTGATGCCGAGTTGCGCGCAAAACTGAATGCACAGATTGCAAGATCGTTGGGGCTGGACCTCTTGGCAGAATCGACCCCTGAAGTCGCGATGAACGACTGTGCTCCCACAGGAAGCAATGGGTCTCGTGATAACGACCTTGGAGAATCAGAGGCTATTCCCGCTGCCAAGGATGATGAGGAAGAGGAATTTGTTTTTCGACTTTTCAGCAAAGCCCCACCAAGTCAAAAGGTCGTGCTGGAGGAAGATCCCGGACCAACAGGCAATGGAACTTTGGTGAGCGGTCGGCCACTCGCTTACTATGTGGTTAAGAACATCTCTGCAGAACGAAAGCATGAGTATACTGTAGCAGCAGTGACTGGGGATCAAGTGTTGGCAAGATCACACGACAGGGCTTGGGGCCTCGAGGTTCCTTGGAAGGTTACGAAACTCGCTATCACTCGAAAAGCCAGCTCGAATAAAGAACTACATGATAAAATGGCTCAAATAAAACGGCGCCCAGGAAAGAAACAACGGATATCTTTGAGAAAACGAGCAAGAGAAATGGAAGAGAGGAAAGCAGCCGAAGTCAAGAAATTGGCCGAGAAAGAAGAGCATGTAAAAGACAAGAAGAAGAGGATGAATCGTCTGAAGAAGCTACGGAAAAGGGCAAAAGCAAAAGGACAGAAGCAAGTGTTGAAAGAAGGAGATGAGGATAATGGCTCTAATGCAGATTCGTCAGGTTCTGAGTGAACGAATTCTAAGGACGAAGAGAAGTGCTACTTAATAAACTTTTCAATTTTTAAATTATGAATGTTAAATATTTTGAGTTATATTTATGTACTCCGTAACTTGATATATAGGTATATTATGGTACTTTTAGGTTAAAACGCCTATGAGATATAGTTGTATGGTAAAATTTAAATACGAAATTGTAGTTCAACTCGAGCTTTTCTTAACTTGGTTATCTTATATGTACTAAGGTAGTTGCTGTCATAGTAAGTACATACTTAAGGCAGGTACCTTATCTAATGACCATGGCAATTATGATAAGTTGAGGAGGATGGGGTGGCTCTTAGTTGCGCCTCCAGGACCTGCATCGGTACCTGAGAGCATCCGCCAATTATATTCGGCAGGCGTTACCAATTCCCAAGGCTGAGGTGTCGGGTGCTCTCCTCCATCAACTCAACCAGGCCACGTCTACAACCATTATCACCCAACATACCTGCCATACATTTCGGTCTCCCCAAAGTATCGGCTGAGACAAAAGTCGGGTGCTTGTTTTTTTTGTAACCAACACTTAATCAAGCAGTAATTTCACTATGGCTTAAGTACCGAAACAAAAATCATCGACTTTGGCGGGGCATTTGTTTAGATCAACCTCACGAGCAACCGACCAACACCATGAGCAACGCCTGGCCTCCGAGGGCCTCTCAAGACGAGGCGCAACCTGTTAATCCGATAGAAGATGTAACTGACACAGGCGAAATCGCTGACCTCGCCGGCGAGGCCGAACAACCTGACCTTCCCCCGGTTCCTGCGCCGCCCACAGCAGCACGGCCTCCCCTCGAGCGAAACTCTCTACAAGGCGCCCCTCCAGCCGCTCCTATGGCGCCTCTTCCTTCAAATGACCAGCCTTCGGGGACCGACTCGCTCTCTCTCCAGCAATTACGCCATATAGTAGCAGAGTTCAATCGCGCCGATCCTGTTGCCTATGATTTTGAGTACACCGACGTGGGTCCGCATGCCGAAGAGATAGACGAGTGGTTCAACTATCAGGTACCACAGTGGGTTAGGCTCAGTGCTGCACAGAGAGCTTTTAAGTGGCACTGGCAGCATGAGGCAAGATCTCAGGACTCATGGGATGATGCAGATAACGATACTCGGGCACGGTTTGTCCAAACCGCTATAGCAGGCGTGCAATCCAACGATGCTGCATTACGGTCAGCTTCTATTGGGAAGCTGGTGTATCTGGTTTTGGGCCGTTGGAATGATACTGCCATGCCGAATGCGACACCCGGGGATAGCCGATCTGTTGCGAGTATTCCGCAGTTACAGGCTATCAAGGCTGGAGTCGAGTGTCTTAGCTCTTTGGAAGGGCTGCCCGTGATATGGGAAGCCCTGCGGAGTAATTTCGAAGTACAATGGTGAGCATAGCCTGACGTACCCTTGTCAGGATGAAACTGAATATAGATTCCAGGTCAGGGGATCCTCTAGGGCAGCATAACAGCGCCCAAGAAGCTCAGGATGAGTTGATGAATCTGATGACCATCATGTACGTTGCAGTACAGGAAACTCTCAACGACCCAGAAGACATGTCCTCTACCTACGGAAAACTCTGTGAGTTTTTTCTTCGTTTCCATATGGCCTTGACTCATAGAAATAGTGGAACTCAACCCCTCGATGGTGGATTACATGTTTACAGCAACTTCGAAATTACGATGGGATGAGCAAAATGCCATGCCCCAAACTCAGGTATGTCGAGTAGTCGTGTTTTACGCCGTGATGCTCATCCTTCAACAGATACTTCTACTGTTTTGGAAATCAATTCTACTTGTTTTTGGTGGAACCAAAGAGCTCGAAGCTATCAAAGACGCAACTAATGAGATGGGAGACAAAGCAGCTGATAAGAAGACCATCACTGCGTCACCCCTAGACTATCACGTTTTTCGGCAAGAGATCACATCAAAATACCCAGCATATGTACCTCCACGACCAGCCATTCCACTTGAAGCAGATAATACCTCTTTATTACCTCCTCTCTCGAGTCAAGTTTCCAGGAATAACGGTGCTAACGGTATCATTCCCGCGCCACCCCAGGTTCATAGTGGAGGAACCTCGATTCTTGACCAACCAGTACACATTGCAACCCCAGCGCCATCGCCACCCCCTTCTCCAGCGGTAAACGGCAAGGGAGGCAAGAAACAGAATTATCAAACAAACCAGAACTTCCCTTTCATGTACCCTCCTTTAGATGCGTCGAGCAACTTTGCTGGCGGAAAAGGCCCTTCTGGTCTCCAACATGCTCTGGTAGGCCGAAAGTGGGAAGGAAGCGATATTCCCGCTTCCATCCTTGAAGCTGGAGAGTTGTTCTCAAAACGAGTCAGGATGACACGAGCGACCCGCCAGCTCTGGGAAGAGCGCGAGCGATTTCTCAAGTTTGAGCGCGGTTATAATAGTGACCACAATGATGACGACGATGAGATTGAGGGCCTGGACCTTAATGAGCTTTCGGCAGAAGAGCAAGAGATTCTGAAGGCGGTAAAAGCGCAGACAAAAGCAGAGGAGAAGAGAAAGCATCCCGTCGTTCCTGAAACGGAAATTGACTATGGTCCTCGACCAGAGCTGTTGTCTGAACGAGACAAACAACGCCTTGCTGCCATTGAAAAGTTCTATGTGGGTGGTAAACACGAACCATGGAAATGGGGAAGATGCTGACGACGTTTAGCGTGATGCTCTGCCTCACCTCCAATCGCTTGTGATAGTCCTGCTGCGGCCGATTCTTCTTAACGTGACAGCAATCGTCGCACAGCAACCTCAACAAGCACCTCCAGGAATGGGTAGAGGTAACAATCCTGGCATGAACGGCGGTCCTTCGGTGAATAGACAGCAGCAGGAGTTGCCCGGACAGAGCCTCCCTGAACCACCGACACCTGAATTATCGTTAGAAGAAGTTGACGCCGCCAGGACTCGGGAAATTACATCGAAAGCCATGACTGGGATTCTCATACTCCTGTTGAAATGGCTGAGAGTTTCCCGTATGTTGACAGAGTCTATTCGATTGGTTTCTTTGCTGATATCAAATAGATGTCCTCAAGTTCGAGTATATGACGCAACTTCTATTGGACTCTAACTACGTCCCGCTCGTGCTCAAGCTCTTTGCTCATCAAGATGTTCAGCAAGTGGTCGACAGCAAAATGGACCGCGCTGAAAATAGGTACGGGGCAATACTTAAGAGTTTAGAGCCAGTCTGCTAATATTCCTAGTTTCTTCCATTTCTGTAACCTGTTGTCGCAATCTAGAGATAAGGCAGCTGCAGACTCGGTGCAGGAAGAAGATGAAGGGGATGACGAAGAAATAGAAGAGAGTGAAGATGAGGCTGCGCCCCCACCGATCAGGAGAAGACGGTCGCCAACTACGCAAAACGACGAAGACACTGACACCAACAGCGATGACCACGCTTCTTCAACGAGACCCGAAGTAGACGAGCTTGGCTATCCCCTCAATCAACAACCGACAGAGCCTATCACAGACTTCTCGCGCCGCAACTTCTTCTCCCTCATTAATTACTTGAGGGTAATGCAAAAGATTTGCAAAAACAAAGCACACCGAAACTTGCTGCTTGTCCAATACAAGTCGTCAACAATCCTTAGGAAGTCTCTCAAAGTACCTCAACCAGAGTTACGCCTTTACACGCTTAAGTTGTTCAAGAACCAAGTTCCCTACTGCGGCCGTAAGTGGCGCCAGAGCAACATGCGGGTGATCACAGCGATATATCTGCACTGTCGACCCGAGCTGAAGGACGAATGGCTTGCGGGAAGTGATGTGGATGCCGAAGTGGACGCAGCGCTTCCCCTAGAACAAGCATTGCGCAGCCTAACACACTGGCTTAACCTTCGCCGGTACCCAGACAAGATCGCGCCCGATATCAGAGCTGCCATGCGAGACGAGCAGGACTTTTTCTCCAGGGAACTTGAGAAGCTGGAGTTGAATTGGACAGATGGGGGAGGCGACGATGGCATGAGCGAACTAGAGCCCGGTGAGGTCTGGTAAGCCTGTTACACAAAGGGGTTCTTGCTTGGGCGCTTTTGGTTGGAATGGCGATTGAAGAATAGCAAGTTGTTTGTTTGCTTTCCGTTAAGACTCAAAATTTGTGGGTTTCCCGTTACATTAGCGATCGGCCTGGAATGTATCAGCTCAACCTCTTTGATACCTATTGAAGCTTGGCGCTGCGATGATATGGACGTGGAAGAGATTAAAGCGAAGACATCAGCCTGTCAGATGAGTATAAAGTATTTCGAGCGGCGAAAGACCCGGAGACAAAAATAAACCAAGAGATTTGAGTTCAGGGCAAAAAGAAAACGTGAACAGCCCAGCCTTGAAGTGGACGGTCATCAGTGAAAACCGGCTCACCACTATTATCCCGGCTTTGAGAAGATTAAAATGCATATGATTAATCATTAATCGGGCTAGTCAAGCCATATTATCTAACATGATGTGAATGTTCATGAGCGACATGTTAATTTTGCCTAGAGCAACATTCGGGGTATCATTCTGTGCAGTTTTCCAATTAGAATTTCCAGTTTCCTTCGTTCTATCTTAAGTGCGATCGTAAACACCGTCTTCGTAGCGATAATTTGGATTCTCGGTCTGGCGAGCGGGCTGCTGAGTGACACCATACTCAGGCTCAGGGTAGTGAATCTGACCATAACCGTCCTGGCGCCCATACTTGGGGTCTTGATAACTGAAGCCGGTGTTATCGTGCTTGTTGTAGGTATTGTCAGGGTAGTTGTTGACAGCGGTGCGATCTGTGGTGTGGCTCTGACGATGTGTATCGAGCTGGTCAGGGTGAGTATGCTCCGGCAAGTCATGACCTTCTTCGGCGGCAGCAGTCTTGCGGCGGCGGAAAAGACGGCCCAGGAATCCACCCTTGGCGCCATAACCCGAGGTGTAATCGTTAGCAGGACTGGGGCCGAAGCGCTTCTCCTTGCGGTGGTGGCGAGCAAGGGCAACCTCCATCACAATGGAGAATA